TCACATTGTGCACATTTTATTAGTTGACCACTTTTCGATATGTCTACTACCGGCTGAGTTACATTGCTTTGAATGGACCCCACTTTTTTGCTCACCTGATTTGCCGAGAGTCGGAATTTCCGATTAGATTTGTGTGTGAAGAAAAAGAAAAACAAATTATGAAACAGCGCACCTCGACGGGAAAAGGGCGACGGGTCCGAGAAAGAGAGCTCGGCGGAGAGTCAGCTGGTTGCGAAATCATTTATGCGGGCCGGCGGTCATAATTCGGAGAAATATCTGGTAAAATCATGAAAAGCCATCTGGGACCGCCGAACAATATGGGGAAAACAAGGCTAATTGGACAATATTTGAGATTTTTTTGAGGAATTTTGAAGTTATCCAAATTTGTCTTGAAGAAAAAAAGTTGATCAAAACCTAGGTGTCATTTTTCTTGTAAACTTTCGACAAAAAGTGATAAATCAATGACAGGTCATCACAATGAACACCTCCGGACCGCCAGACGCCCCATCCAAAAAAGGTGACAAAAGGTCAGATATCAGGGAGAGATAATATCCGTTTAGTACCTCGGCACCATGTGGAAGGTCAGTAATTGAGACGTCTCGTTACTCGGGACGGATCGGCGGTTTATGGTTATGTTTCTCGGACAGATGGACCACTATTACATACGAAATGTGTGATTTTATGGACCCACAAAGTGTTACAGAGGGTATTGGGACGAGAAATTAAAGGATTGAGGGACCGAGAACTGGAACAACTACATAACCGTTCATTCAAAACGATATATCTCAACGACCGCTAGAGATATGAAAATATTGTCAACTAATGAAATGTTCATTATAAAATTGCACACATTTTATCAGTTGACCACTTTTTGATATCGCTAACGGTAGTTGAGTTACTGTACTCCTAAAATCCATTGTCTTTTTTAAGGCCTTTAACTCGAGAACGAATGATTATTTCAAAAAGTTGTCAACAGAAAAGTTGTTGCAAATTTTGTGCCAAACAACTTTGTAATTGACAATATTTTCAAAAACTTTGTCATTTTTGAGCTATGATCTCGTTTCTGTTTCCTAAAATAAGCGGTCCGCAACTGAAAAGATGAGCATCTCGATGCAATTTTCTACCAAATAAACGCGAATTCGTTCCGAAAAGAATCGAAAAGACGCCGCCAAAACTCATGCAAAACGAGGAAGAAAGAGAGAGAGAGAGAGAGAAAGAGAAACCAATATATTTTTTGCACAGCCACTTTTTATGCTCCGCAAGTGCTCCGAGTATATACACATTTGCGAGAGGAGCCATTAAAAGTGAACTAAGAATTTCGAAAAGACGGACACGGAGAAGGAGAAGGAGAAGAAGAAGAAGAAGAAGAAGAAGAAGAAGCTTAATGGAGCTGAAACATGCAAAAAAGAGCGGCGAAAGTGGTGGTTTGGAGAGGGATAAAAAGAGAAAGAGGGCTATAGTTTTACGAGGCTGTTTGACGAGATCATTGGGGGGACCACGAGCACTCATTTTCGAGACGAACACAATCGGAGCATGAACGGACCACGAGCTGTGGGGAACCACCGATGCACCATGTGAAAGAATCGAAAATGGTAGTTTTTGACCCCCCTTGAGGCCTTCAGAGAGTGTTTTCACATGGTGCATCGGATCCGGTTAAGTATAGTCAGGTCCAATGACAGTGACTTTTGGACTATGGCCGATGCACCATGTCTCTCAAAACTACCGGAATGCGGGTAATAGTGGCCGATGCACCATCTATCCTTATCACAATTATCTCAATGTTTACCAATCATTAATCAAGTTGCCTGTTCAAACACTAACAGAGGGAAACTTGAGGAGGTTGGCATGCGTATTCAGAACTGATAACATCGAATTGATAATCGAACTGGGCCGATGCACCATGTGGCGAACACTCTTAGGGTCAAAAACATACAAAAACCTATGATTGCGGCGAGAAAATCCACTTCCAAACATGTCAAAAAGCTATTTAAGAAAAAAATCAGATTGTTAATTGAATTTTCCAGGTTTGAAGCTAGGAAAAGTGAGTTTCTGGTGGTCGATGCACCATGAAAAGACAGAAGGTCATTCAACCGCTGTTCCCCTTTTAATTAACCATCTCTTCAGTGCAAATTGACATATGGACGTGTTCCGCTCACGCAAAGTGTTCGGTGCTCAATGAGCATAATGGGATTGGGACAAAAATGAAAGGAGATGAGCCGGAATTGAATTATTGTCGGTTAACGCTTGAGTGCTCCACGGCCGACGCACCATGGGGACCGATTTTCCGGTTTATAATGTATGACAGTGAAAATCTATGAAACAAACAGATTTTCAGGCCAATTTTCATGCACAATGTGATTTACTCGTAGATAATCTAGAAACGCGTCAAGGACTTGAATGTTTATCACGTGAACGATCCGGCCCGTCGAGAGGAGGCCCTAAACTACGAACACGTGCTTATGTGTTCATTAAGACACCCGTAAACACCCTCTGATCTGTTCGAGAGGTGCGAACCAGAGATGTTGGGAATTCCGTGTTCCGTGTTCCGTGTTCCGCGTTTTTTTTCAATATTTTTTCCGTGTTCCGTGTTCCGTAAAAAAAAAATTTCCGTGTTCCGTGTTCCGTAGAAATAAGTTTTTTTTCCGTTTTCGTGTTCCGTGTTCCGTAGAGTAAAATTTTTATTCCCAACATCTCTGGTGCGAACTTCCTGAACGCTCCCTGTCCGATCATTAATGTTTTGCCGGACTGTCACCAACACACTCTTCTGCCCAATCTTCCTATTTTTTGTCGCATCCTGTTTGACTATTGGTACTTACGGATGATTTGATAGACCCGGTCCCAATTGACTCGTTAGAAGGCTATCATACTCTCACAGACTCAAACCAAAATTTCCCTTGTAAGAGCGGCAAATTGAGAGTTTCCACGTCTCCCGGACACTTTGAAGCCAACAATTTGAGACTACTATTGGTCATTGGCAAGTATGCAAATTCATTTCTGATTCTTGAACGAGTCGGTGCCTTCCTCTCCTGCTTCCGTTAACGTCATAATTGCAAGTGCTCTCCGCATACATAAATACATGCCAAACATTCAAATAAGAGGAGAGAAACAAAAGCCGCCACTACTACTTCTAATCTATCATAATCCTCTTTTTCATAAAGACTACACGGGCTTATCCACACAGATATACATTATATATTCCTCAGGAATCGAGCCTCAAATGCTAGTAGCTTCTCAGAGCTGGGCCTGAACTTTTGACCCACTCACAGTTTTCAGATCCGGCCCCAACTTTGCAGGCTTCTTGGACTTGGGTTTCAGACCGTTAGGATTTTCTGAATATGGAAAGTGGGTCAAAAGTTAAGACCTTCCTCCTTGCAGATATTATTAGCTTCTTCAAAACGTGTTGCACTTTACTTTTCATCTCGTGATGATGATGATAATGATGATGATGATGATGATGATGATGTGAAGCGTGTCCAATTATATTGTGTGCTTCCGAGTGTGAGCTGCTCCTTTTTTGCCATCAACATCATCATCTTCCCTCCTTTTTCTCTGCCTCTCCCTCCACTTTTTGCGCAAGTGTTTTCTTTCGCTAATCAATTTTTGCTCATAATATGCCCTCACCACCGAGCTCACGCTTCCCCCGCTCTTTCTCTTTTTGGCCTTTCTTCCGTACATTCAATATTCAATTTCAGACGACATGGTGCATCCGCCAAAGTTCAATACATTTTTCGAGCATTCTTCGGTCGATGCGCCATGTGCTCCTAAATTTGTGTGCCATCATCCAATAGCCGTCCAATTAAAATCCTCCAATCTCATTTCATTTCATTTTATTCCAATCCCCCTCAATTCTACCTCTTTTCTGCTGCGCGCTCCTCCTCCAAAAGGACTCTCTCTTTCTCTCTCTTCTACTCTCTCTCTCTCTCTCTTTCTCTTTCTCTTTCTCTCTTTCTCTCTCTCTCTCTCTCTTTCTTTCTCTTTTAGGCGAAAGAAAGAGAGAGAGAGGAAGCGAAAAACAAAAACATTGGGGCTCCATCCAACTCAACTCTTTCTCTTTCTTTTTGTCTCTCTTCCTCTCTCTCTCTCTCTCTCTTTCTTTCTACTTTTCTTTCCATATTATTGACGATTTTTCAGTGAAGAAAAGGAGGAAGTTATGTCAATCTCTTCGTATTCCACAAACATCGGAGAAGGTGCTCAAAAAAGAGGTGGCGCCAAGCAGCCGGGTGGACGAAATGGGCGAGAAGAAGCCAGACAACTTGTGAGTCTCATTAAATTTTTAGAAATTTTCAAAGAACTTTATTTCTTCTATACGTTTTTCCTCGAAATTTCAATGCTTTTCACTCCCGAAATCCATCCCGCTTGGGCCCAAAATAGAGCGGAAAAAGTCATAAATTGTGTGTAGCCGTTTGCCCGTTTTCCAATTTTTATGTGACTCGCCAATAGTAGTAGTAGTTGGAATGAAAATTGAGAAAAACGGGAGAGAAAAGGACAATATTTGTTTGTACATAATGGATTATATAATATAAACTCAGAGTATAACATTACATTAGTCTGTTGGCAGAAAACGTTGTACAAAAAGAGGCCAAAGTTTGCGCAGCCCTGAAATTGACAAACTTTGAGGAGATATTGTAGAGTTGCGAAACGTCCTATGGTTCCAAAAATTGTTCAGCGCATTCTTCACGTCTAGTACAATGATTTTATAGTTGACCGTTTTTTTCCATGATCACTTCCTGGATTACTGTAGCTCTTGGAAGTTGGCACTAAAATCCAATAGCTATTGTGAACCTCAACTTCGAAGACCTACAGTACTCCAGGGAGGGGTTGTAGAGAAAAATGATCAACTACAAATATGAAGTACTAGATGTAAACGTTGCAGAAAAAAATTTTCGAAACCATAGGACGTTTTGCAACTCTACAGCATTCATTCAAAGTTTGACCTTTAAAATGATCCAGACGACTCCAGTAAACTCTGAAAAATTCCAAATTTTTTGCAGACGCCGTCCATGTGGCTTCTGGAGGTGTGCGTGAACCCGCAGACGGCGATTTCGAACGCGTGGCGCCACGAGCTGGTCCCAGTGGCCGTGCAGTTCTTGCTCGCCAACCGTCCTTCCTTTTTGATCGTCCGCAATTCGTGGAACCCCATTCCTTTCGAGCATTTTCCGTCGAAACCTGCCACGTGTACGATCACCACTCGCCACGACGACATGTTCTGCTGGACCGACATGAAAGTGTGGTCCGGACAGGAGATTCGCGCCACGTGCGAGGATTGCGACTTCATTTCCGGTACGCGTTCATTCAGGGACTTTTTCAAAATGCCTCACCTCATCTTCCAGGCAACATGTGGTTCTATATCCCGCAAGGCGCGCCTCGCGGTCCCGACGAGTTGTTCGCGAACGTCGTGGATCCGCTGCTCGCGTGGTCGCGGCGGCCGTCGGGCGTCGGCGAGGCGATCGGCGCGGCCGAGGATTGCCTCGGCCTCCTCTATTGGAACGCGCCGGCGCGGTGCGTCGACGTGGCGGCCCAGGAATTGCGCCGACTCGCCCGCCGCATCGGGATAACCATCGAGAACGAGGATGCGATGGTCATCGACTGCCTCGTCGAGGAATTCGGCGGCGGTTATCCCGACGACGAGGAGGACGTGGAAGAGGAAGGACGCGTGGGCGTTGAGGAGGAGGACGCTCCGAGGAGAATCCCGCTCCGCGATTGGTTTTGGGTCGGCATCGCGCTCATCATCCTACAACTATTCTATCTAGCATCGAAATTCGAATTATTTCACAATATGTGGGCCTAAGAAATTTTTCACAATCAAGTTTTTTTATCGGAAGAGGGGGTGGGGTGGGTGGGGGAAGCGAATATATTTTTGTAAAACGTATATATAAAACTCTTTTTGATATTCTCACAACGCAAATTATCGATTGGCTCTTTTTCTGGGCCTATTCAGTTGGGTAAGCACAGGTAAATAACTGTCAAACCGTTAGTTTTTACCTGACTGAATAGCCCCATTGACTTTCTCGGTTTACAATGCAATTTCTTCTCATTTTCTGTTGGCAGCGACGACGAGACGAATAAATGATTTTCGCACCGATTTCGACCAATAAAACAGAGAAAAAGCGCGCGGAGAGGGGCGGGGGATGTACATTCACAAAAAAACACAATAATTTAGGTTACGACGTGAATTTTTGGGGGACAGACGGGGGTGCGGGGGGCGAAAAAGTGAAAAAGAACATTAGATTTTTCATTGGGTGGGGAAAAAAATGAATTTTTTTCAGAATTTTTTTAAGACACAAAAAGACGACTAAGAGAGGAAATATAAGCACAAAAAGTTGGAGAAGGAGGCGGGCGAAAGGGAGGAAGGAGACGTTCAGTAGGGGGGAAATCGAAAATATCACACACAAACGGGCTCAAATTAACAGCATCCGCCGCTCTTCTTGTCCTGCACCGGCTGCGATCCCGTGATGCGCACTCCCGGAGCGGCTCCGGCTCCCTGAACCGGTCCCATACGCGACTTGATCTCCGACGCCATCGTCAAGAAGGCCTGAAAATTGGATTTTCAGTTAAATTTTCGGCTCGTCATATTTAAAACAGCTGCTCCGATTTTCTGTCAAATTCACCTGTTCGACGTTGGTCGACGACTTAGCCGAAGTCTCGAGGAAAGGAATTCCGAGCTGTCCGGCGTAATCCTGCGCCGCCTGGGTCTCGACGGCTCTTTTCGCCGTCAAATCGCACTTGTTGCCGACGAGCAGCTTGTTCACGTTCTCGCACGCGTACCTATCGATCTCCTGAAGCCATTGCTTCACATTGTTGAAAGTTTCCTGCAAATATTGCGAAATTATCGATAAAATCGGCGAGAAATCGACAAACCTGATCGGTAATGTCGTAGACGACAATGATTCCGTGAGCTCCACGGTAGTAGCTGGAGGTGATGGTGCGGAAACGCTCCTGTCCGGCGGTGTCCCACTGAAGACAAAAATTATTAATTGAAAATAGAGAACATGAAGAAACGTACGATTTGAAGCTTGATAGTCTTTCCGTCAAGCTCGATGGTGCGGATTTTCTGCAATTTTTCCATTTTTTATCGAACATTTTTGCTGTTTTCTTACGAAATCAACACCGATCGTCGAAATGTACGATTCGGTGTAGGTGTCGTCGGCGAAACGCAACAAGAGACACGACTTTCCGACACCCGAATCGCCGATAAGAAGCAGTTTGAACAGGTAGTCGCTGAAATCGATTTTCGCTTGAAAAAATATATTAACACAAAAAACTCACTATTCCGGGTTCATTGCGGCCATCTTGTAGACGTTGTCGAAAGTGCGGCGTTAGAATACAACCCCCTGCAAATGAAAAAAATGAGAATTTCACAAAGAAACGATGACGAAATCGATTAGAAAATAGAAAATCAGCGGTGAACGGCGATGACAAATCATATGACAACGGAGCGACGGCGGCGCGTTGCGACGTGTATAATTTATCGATCGCTGATTGTAAACAATCGGCGAAAAACCGGTTTCCTGGCGGGTTTTTTCCAGAAAAAGTGCGTCCGAATGAAACGAAATTCACAAAAAGTATCGAAAAATTCCCAAGGGAACGGCGAAAATCCGAGGAAAAGCACGCAGATAATCCGATTTCGGGCGGCATTTCGTAACACTCAATTTTTCGCGATTTTCGTGGGGAAATCGTTGAAATTAAGAGGAAAATGGGTCAGAAATGGGTTCGCTATGAATTTGGCTATTGGAAAATGTGAAAATCGGCGGAAAACGAGGAGGAAAAGCCGGGGGAAAGGGAACATGACGTGGCGGAAAACGGCCAGAACACCCCGTGACTGCGAAGCGGCCGGACCGCGACGCGTGCCGTGGAGCGCGTTTGCATACCTCCCTATCGCTTTTTTCTGCGATTTTTCCCTCGGAAATAAGAAAAACCCCGCACATTTTTGCGAGTTTTTGATTGAAAAATTGATTTGAACAGGACTTGGAACGCAAAAATTGCACAAGAACACACACATTTCTCCTTGATTATTACCGAAAAACTATGGGTGGAGCTTCATCACATCAGAATTCGACACAAGACTCGGCTAGGTAAGAATTGACCGTATACACGACAAAGGGCCTGCACTGAAAGTAGTTTTCGCGATATTTGTACAAAATATCGATGAAAATGCCAAGCCGGACAGAGCTCCGGCAAAATCAGTGTCGGAAAAGAAAAAGTACGTGAATACAACTGAAAAATTTCAGCGACGCCTCCACAAGCCTTCCGTCGACCTCAAAAAGTTCGAATAAGCTCGTAAAAGCCACGTCGAAACTGAAATTATCGTTTAAAGTAAGATTTAACACCTGAAAAACTGCTAAAACCAAAACATTTCCAGAGAAAACCGACGGCCCGTGATCGAACGCGACCTTTCCGGGATTTGATAAAATCGTGGCCGCCCGAGGATTTGAATTTACTTTTACGCGAATTTTACGCAGATTCGAGGCTACTGGAATTGCAGAAAAAGTGTGACGTGACGCGAAAAAATACGAAAAAGTTCACACAAATTTTCGCGGACGAACGGGAGAGTTATGGCGATTTGACTGTCGTTTTTAAGGTGATTATCGATTTTCAAAGTCAAAAGCAATTCTAGAAAATTCCAGAAAACGTCCTTCAAAATACACCGAAAATTCCTGGCACAACGGTGTAAAAATCTGGAAATTCCGCCGGAAAACGTGGAAATTTTGGAATTGCGCGCCGAAAATTTCCAACAATTTCGCGAGCAAGAAGTCCGAAATTTTCTGACAAAGTACATTTATATCAAAGTTTTTCCGTCGCCAAAAATGGATCCACGCGAGAATTTGGCCAGGCTGAAGGCGGAATTCGGGTGCACGAAGGGGCTGGGCGACGACGTGGCCGCCATTTTGAGGAACGATTTGAAACACGGCGATCTGGTGATTACGGTCATCGAGGACACGATTCATGGTAATCGTTTGTTATTCTTCTGAATCAGCAAAAATAGTAATCGTTGTTTTTTTCAGACAAGAAAAGCGCACTGCCACCTGGAGAAGCGTACGAAATCCGTTGTTGCTCCTCGGTCGCCTCGTGCCGGAGCCCTCTAATTCGCTCGTTATTATGCCGCAAAACGACGGAGAATTGCGGAGGAAAAGAGCGGCGAATCAGTTTCGACGAGCACATTTTCCCGCGCGCGTTCGCCGCCCTTTTCGTCAATTTTCTGTACACCGACACGTTGGACTGGTCGTGTGCGCCGAGTTCCGAAGTGAGCGTCTCTTCGTTAAGTCAGGCGAAGGCGATCACTTGTGGCAAGGCACCCGACGTCCAGTTGTACAGGGCTCTGCAGATCATGCAAGTTGCGAGGTTCTTCGGAGTCGACGCAATGGTTCATGGTAGGTCATTTTTCAATTTTCCAACCAAAAAAAGAAGGGGGCGAGAGAAACGTGTTTTCTTGTTGTTGTTTGTTGTTTAGCGCCTGCGTCTCTGCCTTTTCGCATGCTAATCACGTTTCTCTCACCTCCAGTAGAATGGCCTGCCCGGGCGACTCGTTTCGCCAAAAAAAGGAATGTGGTCATTTTCAACATTTTCCTCAACAATTGTAATGTTTGCAGCGTGTGAAGACGTGGTGGTCCGGCATCTCACGTGCGACAACGTTGTCCACGTGCTCGAATGGTCTCGCGACAACGGCTCCAAGTACATTGCGACGCACGCATTCCGTCTCCTCGAGTCCCAATTCTCCCGGATCGCCCTCTCCGCCTCGCTCTTCGAATTGTCCGCCGCGGAGATGCGCGCCCTCACTCACAGCCAATTCGTCCAGTGCACCGAGCTGGAGTTGCTCGACGCGTGCATCCGATGGGGCGAACACGCGCTGCTCAAGAAACTGGAGGAGCGGGAGCCGAATGTCGTCGCGGACACGTGTCATTCGATCAGCCGACGAGGGCTCAAGCGAGCAGAGTTGGGCGGCGACGAGTTGCGAGAGATTCTGAAGCCGTTGACGGACAATATCCGAAAAGATTACGCTCTCCCGCCGTTCCATCAATCCTTGACTGAAGCCTATTCGAGAGGAATTCTGGAAAGAGCCCCTCTTGAGCATAACCTTGTCGTTTGTAAGAATACGTCGGAAATCAATCCGGATGTCCATTGGCTCCGACCGGATGCCAACTCTTCGGGACCACGATATTACCTGCCCTATCATGAAACCTTAATGAAAATGATGTCACGCATCGATCCGGACGCATTCCCCGAGATGTCGATAATATCGGATGAGAGCAAATTGGAATTTGTGAATTGGTACCCGGAAATACTGTCCGAGGAGCAGTTTCTGAGAGCCAAAACGGCTATTTTGGAAGCGGTGGAGAAGGAGGATGTGAGAAGATTCGCGAGAGCTTTTCATCGCAATTTTGCGGTGCAGATCGTGAGTCTAACGGATTTTTTGTTATGTTTTCATTTTTTCAATTTCCAGATAACCCGTCGGATACTAATCGAAATGGACATTTCCGAGGAATGTCTCGATTGCCACGTGGCATATTCTCATTTCCCTCCCGATATCTTGCCCATATAAATCTTTATTTACAAAAAATATCACGCATTAAAATCAATATATATATAACATTAAAATCGGATTCGTTCATTCTCGGGAAAATTAATGGGAATTTTGAGCACATTTTGCGGCTCCTCACTCTGGATTACAGTAGTTTTGGGCGGCGGAGCAGTGGATTTCCGTCCGGCGCCTCCGAAAATGAGCGCTTCGATTTTGGCGAACGGAATCTCGAACATGGAGGACCAGAAAATGGCCAACAGGAAGGAAAGGCATGTGACTGGGATTACAGTGTCGAGGAACTGAAAATTTCGGACTTATAATATCAGTTTTGGTTGAAAATGAAGCAAAAAACTTTGAACGAGTATTGTACGGTTGCCAAGTGTCCCAGAGTTTCCAAAATTGTTTTTCTGTAAAGTTCACATCTAGTACTGTATTTTTGTAGTTGACCGTTTTTCTCTATGACCATTCCCTGGATTACTGCAGCTCTTAGAAGTTGGCACTCAAATCCAGTAGCTATTGTGGACCTCAACTTCCACGAGCTACAGTAATCCATTAGATGATTGTACAGAAAAATGGTCAACTACAAAAATGCAGTACTAGATGTGAACTTTTCATTCAAAAAAACTGTGGGAAGCATAGGACATTTGGCAACCGTACAAAGACACTTACAAAGTAGGAAAGATTGGCGAAGTAGAGTTCCGAATAGTTTTTGCCGAAAAAATAGCCGGCGACCATAATATGGACCAAATACGCGCAAAACGAGAGACGAGCCAGTGGGGTCCAGAACGGCAGGCTCATAAAATCGTTAATGAGTCCCTTTCGGTAATACGTGGAGACTATTATCCAACTCAACGAAAGTCCCCAAACGATTCGACTGAAGCAACTGCAAACTTTCTTTTTTTTTTTTTAATTTTTTGACCTATTCGAAAAATTACCTGTACATGGCGTTTTGAAAAGGAGTCCAAAGGCTTCCGGAAGTGTAATTTTGAATTATAAAAACCACGAAAAGCATGGATGCCAGGGAGATGACCCATAATATCCGATCGACCCACTGAACATGGAAATCGATAATATTTGGATAGACTTACCGATAATGAGTATTTATAAAAGAGTCTCACCGGTTTGATGATCATTTTGGGCGTCCTGCGCATATAATACCCAAGCACTAATCCCATAATATAAATTTGACATCGAATCAGTGGATTATAATAGTTCCACAGATCGTACCGTCTGAAATACATATGTAGTTCTTCGATAAACTGCTTTATATCCAACAAATACCTGATTTTCGGGTCGAATCTCGGGTCCTTGGGTCCGAATGCGTATTGCGTCGGCGGAAAATGCCAGGCGAACATTTGAAAAGCGTTGAAGGCCGTCGACGCGGAGAACGCGATCATTGCGATCAGAAAACCGATCAATTTTCCGCCGACACCAAACGCGACGAGAATCACTGGACTCATAATGTACAATTGGAGATCGGTGGCCAGGTACCACGAGATGACGTAGCACTGCAAAACTCGGTCTGGACCAGAGAACACGGAAGAATTTTTTTATCTTTTTTAGAAAATTTTTTCATGGAATGTGATCAACTGACGAAATGTATAGAAAAGTGAACTGTGCTCATAGAAAAATAATTGTAAATTTAGCTTTTCATACAAAAAAGTTATTCGAGTTGTTGCGTTGGCCCTTTTTTCACGCAACAACTCGTATAACTTTTTTGTATGAAAAGCTAAATTTACAATTATTTTTCTATGAGCAGAGTTCACTTTTCTATACATTTCGTCAGTTGATCACATTCCATGAAAAAATTTTCTAAAAAAGATATAAATTCTTCCGTTGAGTTCTTCCGCTCAACTCTGGTCTGTACCCCTGTTCCCCTTTTCGGAATCATGCTATATTCAAGAGTTATTTTGTTCTTCTTTGTAGTCGAGGGTCAATTGAAGGATTCGAAAATTGCGAATTCTCTCAGAAGAACGCGACTTCAAAAAAAAAAGTAGAACTAACGCTCAATTTTCTTCACCCTTCACCTGAAACTAACTCACAATTTTCGCGGGATCGACAAAGTTGTCAATGTACAACAAGTTGATCCAATAATTCTGCTGACACGTGTCCGCCTGAACCGCTGGCGACATGAAAATCGGCATGTCGGTAAGGACACGCGTGTAGACAAAAGTGAAAAAGAGGATGGTAATGTAGTAGACGGGCGTGAGTCTTGCGATCCGATGCACGTAGAACATTGTCCATCCGCCGACGCTCATCGCCGCGCGCCGATTCTTCTCGAACTGTTTGAACCAGAGAAACGCGAGGAGGAAGGCGGAAATGAAGAAGAACGTGTCGACGGCAAAGTACGCATTCGCCATTATAGTACCCACGTACGTCTTCGTGTAGTCCAGTAGGTCCGCCGGGTTACCTTTTCGACTAGCACATTTTCTTTCCGACCTATTGTCAAACTTACTGCAAACGATGGCCATGAGAGCGGCACAATGTCCCAGAATGACCCAAACTGTGGAAATTGTGCGAATGCATTGAAGAGATGTCACTTGGCCTTCCTGAAACAAAACGTTGAGTGGATGGATAATAGCAATTGTTCCTCCCGGACCTTATTCAATTGTTTCATGTTGAAAATCTCTTTGATATTTCGATAAAACGAAAAAGACATGAACATTTTCCATCCGAGTTTCGAAGAACATTCCATACGTTCAAAATCAATGTTCGATCTCCGGTTCTGATAGTAATAGTCGACGGTTCCAGAGATTATGGCAGTTGTGACGATGAGTATCAGGACGGTTCTGTCCAGAAAAAAACGGATATTGTGAGATTTCAAAAGAACCCAGACTTACATGACAACATACGTCCAAATCGATGTTTTCGGCACTCTTTCGTTCACATTTCTGACACTACAAACCGGCGAAAGTGCACTCGAAACTCCCAATGCTGAATAAAGTGTAGAATATTGTAAGTTTCCCTGAAATATTTGTGAAACCTGATCGGAAATAATCGGTCAAATCCTCATTTCTGCAGGTGTACGGTAGACAAATGTCGACGCCGATTTGAGGAACGAGACACGAGTCGTTGAAGCTGTTCGGACGCATTTTGATGTCGAACAGGATTCTGGAGATCATCGTTTTACAGGCTTTAGGGCTTTTGTGACGATATTTAGATATTTAAAAGAAGAAGCACCGCAAAGAATACCTGATTTACCTGAAATAATCGCCTCGAATAGTTCGATTCAGTGTCGTCGAGTAGACTTTGACAGATTTGCATTCGGTGAAAGCGCCGGCGCTCAGAAGATGTCCACGAGCGATTCCGGAACCGATTTTGCCCGCAGAGTCCATCACTGAAGAGTTGGAATAAAGTGACAATCCGAAATAGTTTTGCGCGCGTTTTTCCGTCTATTCTTCCAGCCGTGTGACTCCAACCATGACACAATTCTTCGTCTGGACCACGTCCAGCTTCCTCTGCTCTTATATTATCCTAAGCTTCATTCCATCAAATTTTTGGCCAAAACTTGAGGACCAATTATGGGGCTATTGAGCGTATGTTTGTTTTCCGTTTTTTTTTAAGTTTTTTTACACCGCTGAATTGGGTTTTTTGACGTAAAAAACGAAAAAAACGGAAAAAAAGCATTTTTTTCACAGCCTGAACAACCCCATTACAACAAATGTTCGGTGATCACTATTCTCGAGTTGAGCGGAATTCCGTCTTCCGCCTTCCGTTTTTTCAAAGAATGTCATTCCGCTCAACTCTGATAACTATTCTCGAGTCAGTTTTTTGCCCTCAGGATTCGTGTTTTTCGGTCCAAGCCGGACAATGGCGTGGCGGGGCGGTGTAATTCGTAGACTGTGTTTCCAGAACCGTCCGAAGAAAGTCAGTAACCCCTAGTTTCACAGTTCAAAAACTCACTGATATTGTTCTATTCAAAAAAGTGATCAAGTGAACTATATACCCACTGGGAATAAGATAATCCCTCCGTTCGTGCTCGCTCATCGTAACCGGCGCCACAGTGGCTTGTCCGTGTTTCGCGTATCTCGCCATGTCGATCATACCGTAACCCAGAAATGTCAACTCTTCATGACATTCTTTCGATATAGAAAAGTTGGCGAACGAATGAATTCCCAGTGCTGCGATCAAATCGCTCGTTTTGTATTTTTCCTGGAAAAACTTCAAAAAATCATAACTTTTTTCAAAAAAATGCCACAGACTCCAGCTTTGGCTCAAAATGAAGCAAAACGTCTCTAATGTTCCACAAAAACTTGACCCAATTGATAAAAAAATCGCAGACCCCTCAAAAACTGACCAACTGCTCGATGACTTCTCTGGGATGCTCCAAAAGTTCATTCAAAAGTTCGACGGCCTTTGACGGATCGAATTCAACTCCAAAACACGGTTGGATAGTGAGGAATAGGGAAAAAAGTGAAATTCTCATAAAAACTGAACCCATAGTATCGGTTGACGGTGTAAATTGTGTCAAACCGACTGTTTTGACAGGTGGAGAGCCTTGTTTTTGTCGAAAACGTTTTCTTCTTCTTCTTATCACTCACTTTGGGTGTGGTGTACCCAAAAAAAATGGTGAAAACATGAAAAGTTAGAAGAATCGGAACAAGTTGTGATGTGTGAGCACGAAAAGGACAAAAGTCGGGCGGTCCGTAATTGCGTGGGCGGGAAAATAGAAAATTGGTCACCCGGGGGGTAAAGTATGAAATTTAGAGTACTCTGAAGGGAAAACAGAGAAGAAGAGCCAATAAAATTTGGATCTGAAGTCAAGTTTTGGGGTGTTTTGATCAGAATCGTTGAATTTGAAACTTGTTTTAGTGGTTAGAGCATGAAAATTTGAGTATCAACACACTTTTTTCGGTACAAAACCAGTGTAGAAGCTCGAAATACTTTCTTTTTCCCTCGCCTATCCGGATACCTCCCACTATCCATCTCCACACTTTCCACGTCATTGACTTTAGTGTCCGGTGTCCATTTGATGCTGATTCGCGGATCATTGAATGCACTCCACTCAATGCCATAATATTATCCATTTCCTCTCCCCCCACCCACACCCCTGTTTCCCATTTCCCATACAATCAATCCAGTTTTTTCTATCGAAACTTGAAAAAATGTGCTCAAACTTTTAAAGAGTATTGTAGAGTTGGTTTTTGTGAATCATTCAAAATTGTCAGCAATATTGTCGCCTAACCAACCGCTACAAAAATGCTCAAAAACCTTGCCCCCCCCCCCCCTTGAACTTTACCGTCACTTTTCTTTCCGATTCCAGTTTTGTATGTATCAGCAAACACTTTTCTGTGTACACAAACACCACTCGCCTTCGAAAAAAATGTCGCCGCCTTCGAAATCATCCTTCTTTTCATTGTATTTGTTCAGCGTTCAACATGACCCTTTTTGCTCTCGTGAAACTCGATAATTTGTATCGTACTTAACCTTGTACTTAAAAGTTTACCTTTAGGACATTTCGCAACCGATCATTTTTTGCAAACTTTGCACTTTTACTTTCTACACTTGCTTTTGGACCTGGTTGAACCGAAACTGAAACACTTTTAGTTGCGAAACGTCCATCAGTTGCGAAATGTCCAGTTTCATAGAAAATCTTTAGAAAATCCTTTGCAAATCCATCTATTTCCTCGTTTTCCGATCACAAAAGTCACAGTGTGTGTGCGCGCGTCTCCGCTGATGAATAGGAACCAGTTATTAGCATATAAATATAAAAATATAAAGTAAATATGCGAGGGGCGGAATTGTTAAGAGACTGTTGACTGTGGAAACACAACTCTTGACAGTCTTTCACTTGTTTTACTAGTTTTCTCAGGTGTCTTCGAAAAAAACGACAATTTTACACCATTTCTTGAATACTTTTACTTTGGAAATCTCTATGACGTCACAATTTCAATAATTTCTCCCCTATCGCCCCCCGTCCCCTCATTCTCTTTTTCCATTTTATGATTCACAATGCAAACAAAAGCCTCTCTTCCTTTTCCATTCCCTTTTTCGATCACACACACACAAAATGTTATATGAGCACGGAGATGACAACTCATTCTTGTATTGTACTCCCGGGAACGAATATTTTTTCTGCATTTCTGACTCTGGCTCTACTTTTTTTTACTATTGTTGAGAAAATGTTTGTCTCGGGGAGCTCATACTTGTTTTGAGGATTGTAACCTTATTTATTTCCTACCTAAAGTTTTGGTATACTCGTTGCTTCTATTCGTTTATGATACTATGATGACTCAGCGATTAATCTAGTATTGCCGATGCTCGTTGCTTTCTCCACACTCTAAACATTTACAAGTCCTCACAAACGGTCCCTACGTATCATGTTTTGAAACTGTGTTTTCCTGAGCGCTTGTTCTCCAGTTTTGTTTCCGAGCCTGACCTAGTTTGCATAGTATCATCATCCCTTTTCCATTCAAAGATGTGATGGCCCTAATGAATATCATGTGCATAAATCGGAAAAAGACCGGGTAGTCAAAGGACTTGAATAGAATCGCATTATTTCGCCTTTGTAGTCAGAGTTGAGTTCGTAGACTTTTATCGCTTCAAATTCGATAATGCTTCATCTGTACTGTTTTTCTTGCGCTGTGTTAAGCTGTATAAGCGTGTGAGAAAGAAAATATGAACTCAACTGGGTCACTGGGTCCTTTGACTACTTGACCTCTTTCTCAATTTTTAGATATATAATATTCATTCGAAGCATCACATCGCTGTACTCTTTTCTCCTAGGTCCAACTGAAAAAAAAACAAGGAGAGGATGCGAACGAGGGGGAAATGAGCAGACTTGCAACGGGCCGGGCCAAAATTGGAAATTTTCCGGCCCGGCCCGGCCCGCGGCCCGGCCCGGCCCGGGAGGATGCACCTAAAAATTCAAAGCGAACTAGAACTTGGAAACGAACATAATTTAATAGACTTAAAATTTTATAGACTTAAAAAGGCAATGTTATAGCATAAAAACCTGTTAAAAAACAGAAATTGCTGTTTAAAGTCGCAAAATTTTCACAAAAATTACGAAAAATTTCTCAAGAGTGGGCGGAGCCGGGCCGACCGGGCCGGGCCGGGCCGACGATTTGCTGGCCCGGCCCGGCGGGCCGGCCCGGGATTTGGCAAGTCTGGAAATGAGAGAGGAATCACTGAGGAATCAACAATCGGCGACCGTTTGTTCCACGCTCAATGGTTCTGATCCTCCAGTGATTCTTCGGTGTTGCTGTTTTGTCTGTGTGGTCTGTGTGCGCCGGTGTTCGAGTCTAAAAACGCGCGCGATGCGGGATCGATCCCCAGACTCTCAAAATTAACGTAAACATGAAATCACCTGGAAAATATCGTTGCAAAAAGTCATTTTACTCTATCATTTCTTGCTTACGCTTTCATTTTTCAAATGTCATTCAATATTATCCACTTCCAGATGTGGTCCCCATGGCTGATCGTGATCTACGTACTCATGCTCCTCGTCGCCATCTTCTTCCTCATAACTATTGTCTATTTCTTGAATGCGGATCGGAAACGACGAAAGATGATTGAAGGTACACAATAAAAGAAACAGTTTTCAAAAATATTTTTTTCAGAAACTATTGTGAGCCCACAAAAAGCGACCGAAGTTTGAGGAGACACCACATTTTCTGGGCGGAAAATGTTTTTGAACGATCTGGGATTAATTTACGGTTATCTTTCTCTTGTCTTCGATATTACAATTGAGAAATAAACATTCTTTGACGCTGCACTCATGAATTAGGGAGCTGCTTAGACTACAAACTACACTTTTTGTGCGCTGCTCTCGTTAATTTAGGTGCTGCTTAGATTGCAAACTACTTTTTGGGCGCTGCTCTCGTTAATTTAGGGGATGTTTAGACCAGTGTGTAAATTCGAATTCAATCCGAATTTTTATTCGAATTAAATTCGAATTATTATTCGTATTTAATTCGAATTTAATTCGAATTCACCAAATATTCGAATTTCAAAATTCGAATTTACACACTGGTTTAGACTACAAACTACACTTTTTGGGCGCTGCTCTCGTTAATTAGGGGATGCTTAGACTACAAACTACACTTTTTGGGCGCTGCTCTCGTTAATTTAGGGGATGCTTAGACTACAAACTACACCTTTTGAGCGCTGCTCTCGTGAATTTAGGGCTGCTTAGACCATAAACTACACTTTTTTGGCGCTGCTCTCGTTAATTTAGGTGCTGCTTAGACTACAAATTACACTTTTTGGGCGCTGCTCCCGTTAATTTAGGGGATGCTTAGACTACAAACTACACTTTTTGGGCGCTACCTAGTGGAACGTGGTTTCGTATTTAAACAATTCACAAGTTTATAAATAGGAAAAAATAACCTTTTTTTGTTTGGACATGATGAGAAGATTTGCGATGAAACAGGGGGAGAAATTGTTGCCGAAATGTGAAGGGAAATCGAAAAAACGGAGAAAAAAACGAGATTCATATGGCAAATTGGGGAAGAACATTTCCAGGATGGGGTGCAAAAAATAACTAGATGAGAGAAACGACTAGCACAGGTTTTTAGGGGGCGGGAAATTCAAATTAGGGGGAGGGCAAAAAAAGTGAAAAAAATTATGGAAAAAAATCGTGTTGAAAAAATGGGGGAAATGGGATGAGTGTGTGAGATATGTGAAAAAGAGAGGAATGAAATTTGTCGAATTTTCCGGGTGGTCAGACGTAGACGGGCGTCACATTGTTCTCCTTCTCATACGCGTGCCATCTCACGTCGTCCGACTCGTGCGTCACGAACCTCTGCCCGACCGACTTTTCGAGCACTCGTAGGTCCGACCAAATTGTGTAATTCTGCAACAATTAAATTTCCAAGGGCGATAAACTTTCAACAGTGCAAACCTGCATCCAAATGTGCGAGGCGGCCTTCGCGACCGTGTACCGTTTGCTCATCTTCACTTGCAACAGTCCGTTGATGAATTCGATGGCTGCAATACAACTCGTTTCAATAATATCAGCTTCAAACCGTTTACCATTCTCGGAGATCTCTTTCCACGGCGTCGGCGGATACATGAACTCGGCGTTCTGTATCTGATCGTTGATGTCCTCGTCCTCGTTGAACGGAAACGTTCCCGACAGTGACACGTAGACGATCACGCCCACGCTCCACATGTCCAGCGAGCGATTGAAGCCCTTGTTGCGCAGCACCTGGACAAAAGAAATTATGTTTAGATGGTGATAAAAAAGCGACTTTCGAGCGTACCTCGGGCGCCAAATAGGCGGGCGTTCCGACGACACTTCGTCGGAAACTCTTCTCGCCAATGATTCGCGCGAATCCGAAATCGCACAATTTTACCTGAAAATGACAGGATTTCGGCGGGGCGAAATAGGGAAAACAGTACCTGTGGAAAGTCCGAGTTGGAATTGAGCAAAATGTTTTCCGGTTTGAGATCGCAATGCACAATGTTCAGGTGATGCAGATATCTGCAAGCATTCAAATTTCCGGTCAAATCGGTAGCAAACTCGCAATTCTTATTGAGAATGCACAAATTTATTAGAAAATAGGCCTGGGCGCAGTAGCGGTTGAAACGCAAAAAAGACTATTGGCGAGAGAGGGAAAGGCGAGTAGCGTGTGAGAGTGCTGAGACGCAGACGCAAGAGATTTCGCGCCTGCGTCTCGCTTTTTCGCCCACTAATCGCCTCTCTCTCTCGCCTCCAGATTTTTTGTAATCATTTTCACATAGACAGCGGGAAGCAGAATCGTTCGCCCGGGCCTGAACATAAAAATTGCAAATTTTCTTTACCTCAACGCCTCGAGAATCTGCGCAACGAGGAACTGGGTGGTGCGCTCGGAGAGTCGTCCCTTCTCGCTGGACAATATCATCTCGAGCATGTCGCCCTTCAACTTTTCCATCACCACGAAGATGCGGTCGGTCGTCTCGAGCATTTGCATGAATTTCACGACGCCCGGATGCTCCACTTGCTGCAAAAGTTTACAATTTCACACACACAAAAGGATGCTCGGCACAAAGTCGCACTTGACATTTATCCGCTTGACGTTTTTCGTGTAATACTGCGTAAATTAGGGTTTCCATGCCCGAAGGCCGTGTCAAAACCATACTTGACGCACATTTACAGTTGGCTTGGGGTTTTTGAACTGGCGAACACGTCAAAAACAGTGAAAAACCAAGGGTGTTCAGAAAAAAAGTGTTCATGAAAACACCATTCATTTTTTTTCCGCGAATTCCGCTCACCTCCAAAATGTGCACTTCGGTCCTGAGCAAATCCTCCTTGTTGGGCGGAAATTTGAGCTTATCAATCAGTTTGACTGCCACGTGTTGGCCCGTCTGCCGTCGAATTCCGCCGTAGACGGTGCCGAATTGGCCCGAGCCAAGAATCTCCTCGGCGAATATTTGATAGAGTTGCGAGAATTCCTGTTCCGTCTGAATCTTCGCGCCCAGGTGACCCGTTTCTCCTGCAATTTTCGATAATGATATTCATAATTTCGCCTAGAATCATCCACTTTCTCACTATGACGTGTCTTGTCTGGAATTCCAGGCCCCTTTTGTCTTCCTCTTCTCACTATTCTACACTTTTTTCGACAATAATCCAGTTCCTTGTCAATGAGGCCAAAAAGGGCGTACATATGCCATGTTTTCGCCAAAAAGTAAGTGCAAACCGACAATAGCCCGATCCGTCTTTGCACGTTTCTTGCCGATCAACACTCGGTCCCAAGTTCGTCCGAAATTATCCGTTCGTCAATCACATTGCCATCTTCGGACCGGTTGAAAAAATGAAAAAAAAAGTCGTCTTCTTCTGGGTCCAAAATGTTTTTATGACCGACCGACGGATAGTAGCGGAAATGGTCGGGCGGACCGTAAAATTGGCCAGACGGTCACACCACGAACGGACACGCGACAAAAGATCACTTTGAGAATCGTTTGAGCGAAAAAGGAAAAGAGTCGTAAACTAAAATCGCATTTTACTGTCATTTTAGTGATCCGGGTACAGAAATTAGACGAATACGATGTTCCGAAGACATTTTTTCTAGTTTTCTGGTAAATTTAGGTAGTCTTAAAAGAGGGCCCTCAAATTTTGTTCAAAATTCGCTTTAACCTCTTCCAAAAGCGGCGATAGCACTCAATTTTCTCACAATTTGGCCTAAAAATGACGGTTTACCTTCAGTGGGCACTTTCAATTTGTCGACCCGTTTGCCGGCCACCGAGCTCTGCGGAGTGACGGGCATCAGTGCCGATTGGATGGCGGTCGTCCACGATTGCGCGTCCAGCGATCCTTTCTCGTCGGCCGGCGAGCCAGCTGCAAACTTGCTTTTAAAAATGGTTCGTCGAACATATATTTTGCAAAAACAACAACAGATATATCCGGTCACTCTTTTTCGCCCAATTACCATGACTCCATCCGTTTCGCCGTGTCATCAACACAAGACAATCGGCGGCGCGACTGAGGATGCGCGACGCGGTCGACGTGATCGACGCGAAGCTTCCTTCCGACGTGGCCGAGTCCTCCGAGTGCTCCGAAGAGGTCGTCGATCCGCCGCGCCGGCTCCGATCCACCGTGATCGTCGAGCTGATCGAGGAGCCGTCGCGACTGCGCGTACACGCGGATCCATGATATCCCGAGTCGGTCGACGAAATGCTCGACGGTTTGCGCGCGTGGATAATATCGTGCAACTCCTGCTCGGTGCACGCCGAGTCTTTGATCACTTCCGCGTCGCCGACACTGATGATCGTCCGGAACTTTTGATGACGACGTGGCGAAAAATGAACGACTGGGAAATCGTGCACTTCCGACGCCGCCGAAGAGGTCGTCGGCTGGTCCGTCGACAAGCGGAGAATGTTCAGAATCATTCTGAAGATCGAGCAAATAGAGAGGAAATGAAAAAAGTGGAAGTTTTGCAGGATGGAACAGGTGAAAAAGAGGAGGAGGAGGACGTGGAAGTGGAAGATGTCAGAGAAGATTTGTGACGTGGGAAACGAGTCGCTAAAAAATACACTCTCGGCACATTTTCGAGGTGAAAAGTAGGGTTTTTTTTAAGATTAGGCCACAAAACACAGATTCCATGCGAAAAACGGTCACGAGTCTGATGAGAATGAATCGAGTCATTGAAAACGTCTTTTATTCTAAAAAAAAAAAAAGAGTTCATCTCTGACTTTCTGAGATGAACACCAAAACAAAAAGAAGAAGAAGAAGAAGAATGAGTAGGAGGAATAGTAGAAAACAATTGGAATGGGGTGGGGCGCCCAATTAGATAATGAACACGAAGAAGCAATGTGGTCGCGAACGACGAGAATTTAAAAGTAAGAGGAGAAGGCGAGGGCAGATGGATTTCACTGATTCCTTCAGGATTTTTAGTCGTAGGCCGAAGTTTTAAGAGCGTTTTGGGAACAAAAACGTAAATCACAGTGAAGGGTGCCAACGTGTTTCAAAAATTGCGATGGGCCGTACTTTCAGGTCAAAATTCAAGTTGAAAATCATTTCAATGACGTGGCAAGACCATTATGATTCACAGGAAAAATGGCTGAAAACTTTCGCCCTAATCGCCGCACTTTCCGCCGCTGCCCGTCCTTCTCCAGATTATATCATCCGATTCGCTGCCCACGTTCCTTCCGACACTTTTGAGGAAATGGAAATTGGCCAGAAACCGCTTTGAAACCTTTTCCGCAACGCCTTCCGCAAACCAAACCATAATCCAATCAGAAAGAAGAAGAAAAAAGAGTGTGGGCGGGAAAATGCGAATTTTTTGCGATTACGAATGGTGTGTAAATGTATACAAACAAATTAATCTCTTCAAAAAATGTTCGACTGTTCTTCAAACGATCTCAATTGCAAATTAGTGTGGACCACAAGAATTTTTGGGTTTTCGACTCATCATCTCGATATTGTAGACCTACAGCATCTTTCGGTGAAAATAGCTATTGTAGGTCAAAAATTAGAAGTTTCCAACTGTTCGAGAGAACTGCCAAAATCACAAGTCCCGATATTGTAGACTAGAAAATGTGTTGTAGCGATACGAGTGACACAAAAACACAAAAAAATAGAGTGTTCCGCATTGTTTTTCCCGCTCGGCGGACAAAAACGGTTCAAAAACCACAAAAATGGCGGAGGAACACTTTCGGGGGGCGAAAAAGTTGAAGAATGAAAAAGAGGGGGATGGCAAACCTAATTGAGAATTCAAAAGTTTTAAAAGTGTGTCCTTCACACCCAAACATTCGCAGAATATTGTCGAAACCCCCTTTGCCACTTGACACGGGTCAAAATTCAACTATTTGTTAGAGGCGGAAAACTATTTTACTGTCACTTGTTTGCAAAATCGATAATTAAGAACATGCTAGGCTCGGATTACGGTACAAATCACAAAAAGCGCTTGGAACACGTTCGAGAAGAATCATTTGAGGAAGGAGGAATACATCTCTCAATTTTTCCCCAAATCATACGCAGACTACACCGAACCGTTTGTAGTCCGTTTCTGCAAGATTGCGGTGAATGGATATGATCTGTATAGCCTCGCACAGAAAACGATGATGATGATATTATGATATTGTCGGAAAAGTGACGTGGCACACCACAAAGTACCTCGTTTTTAGAAATGAATGTTATTGCAACAGTATTTTGTATGGAAATCCTTGAAAAAACAACCGGCTAGTTCTTTCTTGTTCGCCAAAGATAATTCGCGTTTCTCAGTTTCAAGTGATTTTTGAAAATGGACACATTTTTCAAGTGATTGGTCACTGATGTATTAGACGTGTTTTTGCGAAAGTTCGCTTTTTTAAATGAAATTTCTGTTTACAACTTTCGAAGATCACTTGCATTTTGACATGACGTGGCACTTTACAAATCCTACAAATGCTTTTTTTAGGGTAAGTTCGACTTTCCTCAGTGATGTGGCACTACAGTAATCTCGTCAAAAATGAAGATACAAATGAGGTCGTCAGAGAGAGTTTTAGTGATAAAAAAGTTGTTTTTCAAGTTCAAAAACTGTCAAAAAATAAGCGATTTTTGGAGGCGAAAACAAGCAAATATTTTGATTGTTTTAGGAAATTGTAAGATCAGCACAAACTTGTGGAAAAATGAGAACGTTGTAGAGGTTGAGTCACATTTCTACACAGAAACCCGCCAACAAACATATTGTATAGTAAAAAGAGAAATTGTGATGAAAAAAGAAGACGAAAAATGTTTGTTTTGCAGCGTAAAAAGTAGAGAAAACCAAGGCAAATCAGCTGTATACAGGTGGCTGCGAAAACGGGGCGGCTTCTGACGGATTGCAGTAGACTTCGAACAGGAAAATGAATCTTCGAAGAGGTTTGAAAAATTGCCAAGTTAGTGATGGAATCCAAAAAGTTGTCTTCATGAGACCACTAGAGGTGAGAAGGTTCGAAAAACGGATGAATACCTTCTTTCGGTGGCGTCAGGCGCCAGGTAAGCTCCGCCCCTTTCAGGAATCCTCAACGTCCCGCCTCCTTTTTCGACTACTACTACTGCTACTAGTTCCGTCGATTTATTCACTCCTTCGTTTGCATATCACAGTAATGAAACGAAGAGAGAAAGAAGAAGAAGAAGAAGCAGAAGAACAAAGTGTGTTTGTGTTGTTTATGTGTAATTTAGAGTGTGCGCGGTGAATAGGATAATAGCTACTAACCCGGCGAAAGAGAGAGAGAGAGAAAAGTTTACACCAACTTTATAAATTCTATTTCTATATACTTTATGGAAAGTTTGATGAGAGTGATACCTACTGATACTGTAACTTTATCGTGTGTTTACTTCTTGCAATCCCGTTTCCCGAATTGGACGTTTATCACCGCCGCCTACGTCAGCAGTGCGTGACGTCATCGCCGCCGACACGGTATCCTTCAGTTTGGACGGAAAAAAGATTGAGAAGAGAAATTCTCGAAAACCTTTTTCGGCCTGCGCGGCGCCAGAGAGACTATGATTGATTAATGAACGGAAGAGAATCGGAGAGAGAGAGAAAGAGAAAAAGAGAGATTGGGCGCCTGGCGACTGATGACGTATTTTATCATCCACTTGCGACTTTTCGTCGTCGGGAGAAAAAGATCAGTGATTTAGCCGGGGGCCAGTGCGGGGAACAAAGATTTCGAAGACGACGACGACGACGATACCTTGTCCGAAAACAGAAAAGTACCGGTTAGGTGTTGTGACGTGGAATTTTCGATGTGGCCCAAACTTTTGGCCAAAATCCAATCAATGAGGCTAAAAGTTCAGACCTCAAGCAGCCTTCAAATATGGAAAAAACTTGCGATTCGAGTACTCATGAATCCAGCAGCTAAGAAATTTGTTACGTGGCAGATCAGACTCTACAAAAGTTTTTCGAAGCATCATAGTTTCGATGAGCGGTTACGTGTCAGTCAGATATTGTAGAATCTACAGTAATCCTAGAGCGACAACTTCCTATTATCAGAAAAGTGACTATAAAAGCTTTAAAAAGCGCCAATATTTGTTTATATATCCATCTTTCGTTCTCTTTTTCGCAAAATCGCTACAGAAGAGACGTCATAAAAGTGGGCGGAGCCTCGTTTGCAAACTGTTTTCATTTCCGCTTGGATTCGAACAACAGAAAAGTGAGACCATGGCCACTGATAAAAGGTGTGATAAATGCGGTTTTGGGGGGATGTAAAACTAGACCGAAATTGGTCGGTTTTCAAGAAAAAGATCAAGACACACTCACAAAAATCGCCACTTTTCTACAGTAGAAAAATCGAGTAGAAAAGCTAATCTTTATTCTCGGACATCATTTCCGGTCATTTTCTGCTATCCACACAGTCTTTCTATCCCTTCAACACCACCCAAGGTCGGGAAAATGGCGATTTTTGCAAACGACGCCAGGTGGCTTCGTTCAAAGGATTCTCAAAATTTTTGTTGGACGCAAAAAGGACAATATCCAAATGAGAGCGTAAATTTTGATGCGAAATTTGTGAACGTGCAAAAATTTTCCGAAATTCGGGTGCGTACGCCCCGAACGCACGCCTACATGATTTCCAAATTATTATTATTATATGATAAATGCGGCGGATGAGATCATGGACATTTTCGGAAAAAGTTATCAAAGAGGACTAAAGAACACAATCATTCATTCACTTTTGCGGTCATTCACTGGTCACATTATTTTCATGCGATCCTCGCCAATTTTTGTGTAATTTTTACGGTTCGGGGCACTGTAAAGGTACCGTAACCTTGGAAAACTATAATTTGTTCCGAAAGTATTGCTGAACTCACTAAATCGATGGGGTCTAGCACTTTCCTTGGGAGAATCTACAATTTCGTAACATAATCTCTCATAGACTACTGTATCATTCAGATTTTTCCGGGATAGTCTCCGAATTTGGAAAGACGGCCTTGGTTCACATATTTCAGGACCAGCCAATCCGATCGGCCTGAAACTTGGTCCCAGTATACTTCAATTCAAGTCCAAAAAGTCTGAAGAGTTTGAGTCCGATCAGATTATTGAAAGTTGGGCAAAAGCCCAGGCAAAGTGGGTTGTTTCGGAAGAAAAGTCTGGTTCTACGAGGTCCGTATTTTCAAAATGGCTCTAATCAAGAGTCAATCTCGACGGGATCAAAAAACGCTTTCTGAATCATCAAGTGAGCGCGAAAAATCGTCGGCGGGGCAAAATTTCCATAGCCAAGTACTCGGAACGCCCGAACAAATGACCCAAGACGCCCACAAACATTCCCCCCTCCCCCCCCCTCTCTTCTTATTTTTTACACCCCTACACTCTTTTTTCTGCTTTCAAGAAACCATGTGTGCGGGGGTGTAATTGACACATAAAATAGTGACCACAAGCGGAAAAAAAGTTAGAGAGATGCGAAAAAGTGTATGTATTGTTACACTGTCG